GTTAAAAAAGAAAAAAAATTTCGATGCACCTCTCTCGGCGCGTGAGAAAACTAGGGAAACCGTGGCTCTCTACCGCTGCTGATCTCATAATTCAAGCACTTCCCAGATTTGTAAAGCTAATGGTGAGGAACAAGAGGGTAAGGCTGTATGCGATGAGGTCCACTCTGATAGTGTACCAGCAGAAGGTGCATCTTTAGTTCAAGTAGGAGAAGGAGTATGCACCCCTAAACCACTGCTAAATTGTAAAAAAGAGCTAGAGATTGACAAGAAGCACCACCAAATTGACAAGAGCTAAAAAAATTGGTGATTTAGTAAGGAATCCATCAGCCTTGAAGCCAAAGAATCAGTTACAATCATCAAAGGCCAATAGTACCACCAAACTGGCAAGTGAGAAAAGGTTGGTGATTTTTCTACCCACAATGCTCTCAATATTGAGCTTCTCTTTGGCTATCTTCCACTTTTAACTGATTTAGTTATCATTCTGTTTTGTAGAGAAACAAACGTTAAAAATATGACAGGAGCTCCTAGTTTTGCACAGGAAACTCAAGTCATTAAGCGGCAAAAGCTAGGAGGAAGATCTAGACAGGCAAGTTATACTATTCTCTTTATTTGTGTACTATTACCATTGCTCTTTCTTTTGATATCTTCTTCGTTATCAGCATCCATCGTAACCTCATCACAGATTCTGAACCCAAAACCAGTTAATCTGGCCCACAAATCAAAACTGGGTCGTGCTAGTGGTATGTGCTCATCTGCTAAGACATATAACAAATTGGAAAGAAACGTTTTGTTCCATATACTAATTCATTTTCAATTTTTACTAACATTTTGTAGATGCTGGTTAAATTTGACGAGCTGGCCTTTAAACCATTTTGAACAATTGGCGCGTTCACTTGAAGGTTTAAGTTCGGGAACAAGCAGAACCATTTGTTTCAATGGCAGAAATGATGAAAAGGTTTCAATCAAGTACAAGAGACTGTCACACTCGCACGCTAATAGCTCTGTTTCATATGTACGTGAATGGAATACATCATTTTCCTACAAATGACTTCGGTTTCCCTTTTTCCTTACTTTTCTTGCCCCTCTTTCGTTTCCCCTTTTCCTTTTGGAAATTCCTCCAATTAACCACTTAGGATGTTGCTCCTACTACCATCTAGGGGATGATAAAAAACAGGGGTTAAAGTAAATGAAATTTCTAAGAGGCAAATAATCAAATACTTGGTGTGCAACAGAAAAGATGAAAATTGAAGATATTTATTCAACTGATCTATGCCCATTTAAATAGAAAATGTAGAGCAACAGATTGCACAATACAAGGACACGATGACTACACGATCTGGTAATAAAAAAGTACTCTTATCTTTAAAAACAAGGAACTGTATCTCCACTAAATAACAAACTTGGACTCTGTCAACTATTAAACTAAAATTGCATATTATTTGGTAGACACGTAAACAATAAATTGACACATAAACAAAGAAATTGACACCTAAGCAAAGACCCATTTCAGCATTATATCGTAACATGCTCCCCCTTAATTCTGAAATTTAAAACTCCAAGCAAATCCCTTAAATGGATAAATTTATCCAAAGGAAGTGGTTTCGTGAAGATGTCAGCAACTTGATCCTTTGAGTTGCAATGAACAACTTCCAAGCTTCCAGTCGCCACCAACTCTCTTATGAAATGATGTCGAGTTTCAATATGACGAGTTCGACTATGGAATATTGGATTTTTTGTCATTGCAATGGTTGATTGATTGTCACAAAAAATTGGTGTTGGTTGTTGTTATAATTGCTTCATATCCTTCAGAACTCTTCTTGTCCATGTGGCTTGACACACTGCTACTGTTAAGGAGATATATTCTGCTTCTGAAGATGACAAAGCTGTAGAGGCTTGCTTCCTTGAACTCCAAGAGATAGCATCGGACCCCAAAAAGAAAGCATAACCTGAAGTACTACACCGGTCATCAACACAACCTGCCCAATCACTATCAGAGTACCCAAATAAATTAAATTGGTCATTTTTGGCATATAAAATGCCAAAAGAGATTGTCCCCTTCAAGTATCTTAGAATCCTCCTTGCTGCTCCATAATGTGTCTTGCTTGGACTCTACATAAAACGAGATAGCACACTAGTGGCAAAAGCAATATCAGGCCTGTTGTTTGGAAGATAAAGAAGACTCCCAATAAGGCTACAATAGGCATGAACATCAACCTTTTTTTCTCCATCATTCAAACTAAACTTCTGATTAGAAACCAATGGAGTGCTCATTGAGTTACAGTCTTCCAACCTGTACTTCTTAAGAAGATCTTTAGCATATTTCTCTTGGGAAATAAAAATTCCCTCGTCATTCTGAACCACTTCCAGCCCCAAAAAATATCTCATTAAACCCAAGTCAGTCATGTCAAACTCATGAACCATCATTCTTCTAAATTCTTTCAACAAAAAAGAGCTATTGCTAGTGTATATTAAATCATCAACATAAAGACACACTAAAAGTACCTCATCTCCACCTTTGGTCCGGACATACAAAGTAGGCTCACTTGGACTTTTATGAAACCCATGGCTACAAAAATGAGCATTAATTCTTTCATACCAAGCCTGTGGTGCTTGCTTTAGACCATAGAGTGCTTTCTTCAACTTGTACACTTTCTGCTCTTGTCCTTCAATTTCATAACCCTGGGGTTGCTGTACATACACATCTTCCTCTAGGAATCCATTCAAAAAGGCTGACTTCACATCAAATTGAAAAATAGACCATTTATGTTGAGCAGCTAAAGCTAAAATAATTCGAATAGTATCAAACCTGGCAACCAGTACAAAGTCTCATCAAAATCCACACCTTCTTGCTGCATGTAACCTCTAGCAATCAATCTAGCCTTGTGTTTATGAATTGACCCATCAGAATTGTACTTGGTCTTGTATACCCACTTTAGACTTACAACTTTGTTGTCTTTAGGAAAGTCCACAAGCTCCCATGTTTGATTTCTTTCCAGGGCCTATATTTTCTCATCCATAGCTTTGCACCATTTTCTGTTTTGCGTTGCTTCCTCAAAACAGCTAGGCTCCTCCACATGTGCCATTTGACACCTTTGAGTTTGTTCATAGAGTTCCACCAAGGATTTTACTCTCCTTGCCTTCCTTGTGCGTGGAGGTGTCTCAGGTGAGCATGGACACGATCTACTGCCACTGTTAGGTGTAGAGGAAATTTGACCTTCACCCATTTCACCCTCAGTCATGACTGGATCATCCTCCAAAATGCCATTAACCACCACAGAACCTGGACTTTTCTTTTCATTCCAATTCCATGAATTTTTCTCATCAAAAATCACATCACGACTAATTAGTAACTTCTTGGTGATAGGATCATAAAATCTATAACCTTTAGTTTCATCACTATAACCAAGAAAAATGCACTTCATACTGTTTTCCTCAAATTTTGTCCTTTTTTTGAGATGGAACATGAACATAAGCTACACACCTGAAAACTTTAAAGTGAGTTACCTTGGGCTTCCAGCCATGCCAAGCTTCGAAAGGAGTCTGATAATGCAAAGCTGCTGTGAGACTGTGATTTTGAATATAAGCAGTAGTGTGGATTGCTTTTGCCCAGAAACTGTTTGGAAGACCTTTAGCTTTCAGCATGCTTTTTGCCATCTCCACAAGGCTTCTATTTTTCCTTTCAGCTACCCCATTTTGTTGAGGGGTATAGCTTGCTGTCAACTGCCTTTTGATGTCGAAATCTTCACAAAATCTATTAAATTCAACTGAAACAAACTCCCCACCTTGATCTATCCGCAGAACTTTGATTGAACATCCACTTTGCTTTTCAACAAGGGCTTTGAATTTTTTAAAGATTGGGAAGGCATCTAACTTTTCTTTGGCAAAGTAAACCCATGTCAGTCTACTAAAATCATCAACAAAGATAATAAAATACCTGCTTTTGTTGAGAGACAAAGTATTCATTGGCCCACAAACATTTGCATGTATCAACTCAGCAGGTTTCAAAGCTCTTCTCGCCTTTCCTTTGGGAAAAGCATCTCGATGTTGTTTGCCATAAACACAGCTTTCATACACACCATCAACTTGTTCAATGATAGGCAAACCATGCACTAAATTATGTTTTGACAAAAAGTACCAACCCTTGGAAATTCAAGTGCCCGTATCTATGATGCCACAACCAGTTGTCATCATGCAAAGTGACATTCAATGTAGACTCACAATCAAGAGTTAAAGGAAAACACTTGTTTTTTGCCATTGGAACTTTAATTAAAAGCTCCTTTTTAGTTCCATCTTTGTAAACATAGCAAGCCATATTTTCAAAAACAAGTGAATATCCATCCATCATAAACTGACCCACACTTAGCAAATTAGAATCCAAATGAGGTACGAACAAAACATCATCAATACAATTCTTGCCATATTCATCCAATTTAACCGTACCTTTTCCTTGTGCTTCTTGTATGGTACCATCACCCATGGTTATCTTTTTGCCCACTGACTTGTCCAGGTTCATGAAGAGATTAATGTTTCCTGTCATGTGATTGCTGCAGCCACTGTCCACATACCAAACATCTGGAACACTTTCTTTAGCAGTGTAGCAAGCAAGAAATAAGCTTTTAGTTTCATCATCCTTTTCTTGTGCAAAATTGGCTTGCTTATCTTTAATTCTATAATCTTTAGCAATATGGCCATACCTCTTACAAACAAAGCACTGAATTGAACTCTGGTAGTCACTTCTTTCATTGGCTCTCTGATGATGCCTAATGCTGCCAAATCAACCTCCACGACCTCTTCTTCCACCTCAAATTGCACCTTGTCCTCTATTGAATCTACCTCTATTACTAAACTCTGAAGAGCTCCTTCCATATTTGTTTTTGGGCAACTGTAGCTTGTTGTAGAAAGCATTCTCCACAAGATCCTCATACCTCTTCATCTTGTCTTCATGAGAAAAAAGAGAACTGAGTAGCTCATTTTTTGTTTATACAGCTAAATCCTTTGACTCTTCTATGGCAGCCACAATATGGTCATATTTCTTAGGCAAGCTCCTAAGAATTTTTTCAACCACCTTTTGCTCGGGCACATCATCACCATATTTTCTCATTTGATTGACAATTTCTGTCATTTGGGTAAAGAAATCAGATAAGTTCTCACCTTCTTTCATGACCATACCTTCATACCTTTTACGAACTGTTTGCAACTTCACCGTAAGCACCTTGGCATTGCCTTGGTATCCTCTCTGCAAGGCGTCCCATGCATCTTTTGACTTTGTTGCTGCTGAGATGCATGGAAAGATAGTATCATCCACTCCCTGCTAGATGAAAAACAATGCCTTAGCATCTTTCTTCTTTGTGTCCTTGAGTGCCTCTGCTGAGAGTGTAGCTTCTGTGTAACCCCTCTCTACCAAGTCCCATAAGTCTTGGGACATAAATAAAGTCTTTATTTTAGTACTCCAAATTTCATATCCACTTCCCTTAAAGAATGGAATGGTTGGTTGTGAAACACTTCCCAAATTGTTGTTTGTGGCCATTTCTTTTGAAGGCAATTGAAAAAGGAATCTTGCTCTGATATCAGATGATAAAAAACAGGGGTTAAAGTAAATGAAATTTCTAAGAGGCAAATAATCAAATACTTGGTGTGCAACAGAAAAGATGAAAATTGAAGATATATATTCAACTGATCTGTGCCCATTTAAATAGAAAATGTAGAGCAACAGATTGTACAATACAAGGACACGATGACTACACGATCTGGTAACAAGAAAGTACTCTTATCTCTAAAAACAAGGAACTGTATCTCCACTAAGTAACAAACTTGGACTCTATCAACTATTAAACTAAAATTGCATATTATTTGGTAGACACGTGAACAATTAATTGACACATAAACAAAGAAATTGACACCTAAGCAAAGACCCATTTCAGCATTATATCGTAATAGGGGAAGCCTAAGCTCACATTGACAAAGCCCAAGGAACCTGAGTTTGAAACAGCTCAGAGAGGAAGAGATGATGGCTAATATTCCAAAGTTCAAAGCAAGACAATTGAACAAAAAGGTATTTTCTATTGATCAACAATTCAGAACTTCCAACTTCCATCTAGTCCGTTTATGTATAGTAAATTGACTGTCTTTATTTATAATAGAATACCATTTTTATCATTTTTTCTATTTCATTGTTTGTCACGGATTTTGGAAGCTCCAACACTTCCTGCATTACAAAGAAGTACACCAAAGCCGCCAGAATTTCAAGTAAGGATAGTCAATATAGATAGTGTAATTGCACCAAACCAGAAGTCCTTCCTCAGTC